GGCGGGGGGCTGGACTCAACCTTCCGAGGTCCCTTCCAGCCCTAATGTCTATGAAATCTATGAAAAATCAGCCCCTGAATCTGGAGTTGTCAGAATAAAGTCAGAAATTAACAATGGGAGACATGCCCCCCGCCCCAAGAACTCGAGTATGGCTGTACCTAATATGTACCATACTAGGTACAGCATCAAGCACATGTTCACAGAAGGGCATGGACAGTGTTTAGCTTAGGTAAGAGTGTTAGGAATTCATCTGCAGCCGGAGATGCATGATCCATTCAGGTCAGTTTCTAAGGTCTTTGCAAGCAAGAGGCCAGAGGCTGGGGTGCTGGACACACTTATCTGGCCGACTTTGTTTTGGCTTTCTTCCTACTGACCCACAGACAGTGTGACACCATCTGGAAAAAAAAGAGCTAAAGATAAACCACTGTCAAAAGTAAGAGCAGTAAAACTATGGCTAACAGTAGTAGGAGGGGAGACAAAGTAGTAACAAGTAATGGAACTGCATTTCATGTACGAGTGGAGTATAGTTACGCCTGGGGGAAGTCTACATTCTCTTTACCGTCTCAGAGGATGCAGTATTCCTTTTCAGTAGCCCTAAAGCTGCAACAAGCATTAAATGTGCGCAAAGCATTAAGTGCTGGGGACTGATGTGCCATGTGTGGTCTTCTTTTACAATGTATTTATTTAACATATTTATATTTATTTAAATTTTTGCAAGATGGTATCAGATGTCAGTGGTATGGACACAGAGCTGCCAAAGCCTGTTTTTCTTAAGAACAAAAAAATACTTCTTGTGTTTGTTTGTTGACTATATTTTAAAATAACTGGACAAGGAAGTTATACTGCATCTTTCAGTGGAACTTTCTTGTCTGTTCCTGTTGGGTACATTGTAAGATCAGGGGAAACTTAATTTGTCTAGTTGTACCATTATGTCTTAAATGAGTAAATTATTGATGGTTACTTGCGACTAAACATACTGTAGCAATGCCCAGCCATACCTGTCTGGAGCCTACGTTACTGGGAGGTTCTTTCTGATTTTGCATCATCTGAAAGTAGATCTCTGATATGATGCCAAATTGTGCAAGTTACACATTTCTAAAGCTTGAAAAAAGTTGTTTAAGAATTCAAAACCTATTTCATATTTTTGTACCTCTATTTTACAGTTCTTTTATAATTCTACTCAATAACAATGACTTGTACTCAAATTCAAGTAGACCTAGAACTTGAGGTGCGTGTCCATTTCTGAGTGAAAATGGTGGGAGGCAGGTTGGACTCTGTGGCCTGTATAAGAATTGCTTCCACTCTTGCTATGGGTTTGAACAGGTTCTCCCACTCCTGCTAGTCTAAGGTGGATGAAACGGTAGCCCAAAGGCCGATGTATTGCAGACGACTACTTACGCGCAAATGTATGGGACAGTATTTTGGTGCCTCCCTTTCAGTGCCCTGACCTAAAGGGAGAGTGGAGTGTTCCCAGCATCTCTACTGAGTGCCACTGGAATAGGATCAAAGAATTGGGCAGGGAGGGCAGAGACCCCAGCTGCTGCCACTATGGTACGGGGTTTGTGGGGGATGCCACTCTGGTGCACCCCCTACATCAGCATTACAGGCTGGTCTCCACTCTCCCTGGCCTACAGGAAGAAAACATGAGGACATTTCCTACCACTGCCCTGAAGAGAGTGGGGGTGGGCTGGGTAGTCGGAACAAATCGCAAAGCAGCAGTCTTCTAGCTGGTCTTCAACCCCCCCGTCTCCTTCAGAAACCCAGCTTCATCCCTGTCTCCAGTTACTGTGCATGGCCATCACTTACACTAGTCTTTCTTAGACAAGTCCCACATTGCACACCCATCAATGTCATTTTTATTTGCTTTATACATTACTATGGCAGCTTCCTGAAATCATGCAACAAAATTCGTGCCTCAGCCCTTGGCCTGACTACAATGAGATTGGCAGGAGTGGATAACTCCATCTCTAAGACTCATGGGTTCCTGGGCTTTTCTACTTAACCTGTCCAAAACAAGCAAAATTAAGGCACTGCCCTTTCTTCTTATCAGTTCCTTTTAGGCAGAGCCCTCCATTTCTCTGGTACAGATTAGGAGGCAAGGAGTGGAGTGTGGGCAATTCTCCATGCACATTCACTCCTAAATATAAAAAGAGGTAACCAACACATACCCAGCAGTGTTGAAGGGGCTTTCACACTGCACCCGAGCTCATCCTTCTGCAACATGCCATCCACCAGGAAGCAGTGGTGATACACTGCAAGGGCAGAGACGAAGGTAAGGAACGGAACAGGAACACAAGATGCAGCATTTTCAAAACCTGGAAGAACACATGCAGGCAAGGTTCTTTGGGGAGATGTGATCTCTTTTCTTAGACCGTCTAAATAGTTGGGGAAAAGTTCTTTGTAAGCTTTCTGACACAAAGGGAGACTCTGCTGGTGTTACGGTTCTCCAAGGTAGAAAATAAGCTGATTTACAACAAGAAGTCTGTGAAAATGCAAATGAGTGGAAGTTTGGAAGACAATGAGTAGAGATGGTGGGGGCGGGGGGGGAGGGAAATGCGTGAAGGAAAGCAAGTGGCCAGGTGGAGGCAGAGTCCTGGGGTATCAGATATCAGGCAGGTTGTAATATTGACATTGGATTTATGACACATTAAGTCCTTGATTTTTTGTATCCAGAAGATTATTTATAGAGTGAAGTTCATAGGCCCGACTATGCATATTGTAAATTCCCTTTAAGGATTAGCACTGAGAGATTGGAGGGGGAGTGGTTGTCCTGTACATGTTGCAGTTGTTTGAGGATTCTCCATGTAGGTTCTAGGGAAGGATGGTATATCATAACTAATGGTGTGCGTTTCATGGGGACTTTCTGTAATGCAGCAGTTCTTCACATGGTGTCCAGGTGGCTCTTTCAAAGGTGCAATCTCTTTCTCTCGAGAAGTGTTCTTGTTTATGAGAGCCCTTTTGAGATTTGTCAGGTGATGATCACGGATGTTCTCAGTGCAAATTTGGTGGTATCGGAGAGCGTGGCTGTAAATTACAGCTTTTTTGGTGCGTTTAGGGCAGGGGTGTCCAGCATCTTTGAATGTGGAGCCAGATCATGAACTTTTTATCACCCAGTGGGCTGGCAGGAGTGGGTGCTCACATGGCCTGTCCAGTCTGGCCGCAGCCTGGGGGTGTAGGGGTCAAGGGGTGCCACCTGACCCCCCCTGCCACCTGGGCAGCCTCGAGGATGCTCCCACACCTGTGTGCCTGGGCTCAGCAGCCAGGGGGACATGCGGGGACCCTACAGGGTGGTGGAAGCTGCTGAGGGGTTGGGGGAGAAACAAGGGGTGGGAACAAAAGTTTCCCGTCGCAGCACCTCAGGCTTAGAAAATGGTTTGGCGGCCCACAGGCCGTATGTTGGACAATCCTGGTTTAGAGTGATTGCTGGTTCTGTGCAGATATGGATGTTGGTCCATGGGTTTCTTGTATATGGTGGCTTGTATTTTACTGTTCTGGATATTGATCATGGTGTCTAAAATGTTGGTGCTGGAGTAGTCAAGAGATAGTCTGATAGAGGGGTGATGATTGTTGTGATGGAACTCATTCAAAGACTGCAGGGTTTTGGTCCAAATGATGTTATCTGTGCATCTCAGGTATAGCATGGGTTTGATGGTGCAATTCTTGAGGAATTCTTCCAGGTGGGCCATAAAAAGATTGGCATATTGTGGGGCCATTTTGGTGCCATAGATGTGCCCACAGTCTGGAGAAAGTGTTGGTCGTTGAAACTGAAGTTGTGTGCGAGGAGGCAGTGTATAAAGTTCAGTAATACCTTGGGGTCAGCACTCTTAAGTTGTAATCTTGCTCTTGTAGATATGTGAGGCAGGCTTGGATGCCATCCTGGTGTGGGATGTTGGTATATATGCTGGTGATATCCATGGTGGCCAGGAGGGTACTGCTGGGAAGATGGTCTGTGTTTTTGAGGTTGTGCAGAAAGTCTGTTGTGTCTTGGATAAAACTCAGTCTTTAGGATGGATTTGATCAAACCTGATATTTCTTCAGTTAGGGTTCCATGGTTGGAAATTATAGGTGTGCCAGGGTTCCCTTGTTTGTGGATTTGAGAGAGCATGTAAAATGTCCTTGGACTGGGTAGTGGATGGATCAGTGTCTGAAGTTTTTCTTGTAGTTCAAATGAAAATTATGTGATGATGGTTTTGAGTTTTGAGGTGAAAAGGGGACTTGGATCTTCCTCTAGCTTTTCATAGAAGGTGGTGTCAGAGTTGTCTGTTGGCTTCGTTTATGTAGTCTTTACAGGTAAGGATAAACTATAGCTCCTTTATCTGCTGGTTTTATTACTATTTGGTGGTTGGATCTTAAGAGATTTTATGGCCTCTCTCTCTGAGGGAGAGGTTGTTACAGTGCTGTTTGTTGTTATTTCATTGTTCATTCTCTTTCTGACACTCTCAATATAGCAGTCAAGGTTTAAATTTCATCCACTGTTAGGTGTCCAATCAGGTTTTTTTTGGCTTTTTTTTTTTTTAGGTTGTCACAAGATGAAGTCATGTTGAAACTGGATTCATTTTGGTTGTGGAAATATTCCTTCAGCCAGAGGTGTTGGA